GGTGGGTGGGTGGGTGGTGAACCCTTCATGATTGGTTTGTGGTTCCAGGTGTCATGCAAATACAGGAAAGTGGATTAATTGAGTCTGCTCCATTCAGGAAGCCTTATATCAAAGTGCTATGTGAACAGCCTGAACATCATCATCAGCTTTTTACCCTGCTTTTGGTCAACTTCGTGTGATCGGTCACCATTTACCCCTTTCAGATCTTGCTGACTCTCTAGCAACTTCCTAAGTCTACCGGCCTTCTTTTTTATTCTTCCCCCCGTCTTGAAAGGGGAAGGGGGAATAAACAAAATTGACTTCACAATGGAGAGATCCTTGGGAGAGGGTTATGTAACAGACTCCCTTCTATGGCAATGCCACTTTAAATTTCCCATAAAGCTCCAAAGTCCAGACCAATGCAAAGTCAGGGGCATTCTGGGAATTATAAAATGGCATTTCAAGTGGCACTTCACCACCCCTAAGGATTAGGCAGGTGTTACATAAAATAAAAACTCCTTTATTTAGGCAAGGTCATGCTTGATTGTTGACATTGTCCTGCTCTGACTCTGTGTTTTTGCAATGAAGAACTTTTGGGGAGTTTCCTTCCCTGTTATCCTCCCTATTTACTCTGCCAATTTTCCTACCTAGATCTGCAGATATTGCATTGTCCAGAACAACCACCTGGCACATACAGAGCAAATGTGAATGCTGACAGGATAATGTGGATGCCAGGCTCAAGATACATAAGAAATTATTCCATACTGCAGTTTCTCCAGCTTCCATTTCAGTCTATAACTGGGGTCACATTGCGTGGTTTCATTTGATTTGGGCTTAGCACATTGTATGAATTCAATCACTGCAGTTTGTAAACTATGTACAGTATGTGCACCTGGGGTTAAACCATGTTTTTATAGCCATGGCTAGTGGCTTAATATATTTATCTAGCAATTGGGGTTTATTCCATAAGCATTGGTTACCCAAAACATGGAGGATCACAAAGCTTAAATGTAACCTGTTTCTTCCAGTGTCTTGCCAATACTCACTGGCTTGCAGTAGTCGGGTTCAGATCTTCTGGTCTGACTTTGAAGAAGTTCAAGACATGCATACAACGGGAGATCTTACGAGGAAGATTGATCAAGGCAGAGGAGTACTCAGACAGAGTATTTTGCCGGTTTTCAGTGGAGCGTTGGTTGTCAAACCACCTTGGGGCTAGGGAGAGAAAGGGAAACAAATGCATTTTACTTCAGGTGAGGCTATTTACCTATCTGCTCCAGAACAGCCAACTCTAACCTGCTGTAGGTCCCCAAAATCCAAGACAGAGATTTTGCTCCACATTCTCAAGTCTTGGACATTTCTCCTGTGTGTTTTGAGCTTCCGTCAAGGGAAAAGGAAGAAAAGGAAAGAAGATCAACTAAACCCTACAAGGAATGGTCACCCTTCAGGAATTCCATAATCACATCCTACAATGTAGACTCTGAGTTGGGTGAATTAGAAGACCTTTGAGGGCACTCCTAAGTCTGAGGTCGCTGGGCTATAATGTCGTTTGTTTGGCTTTGACTTAGCCTCGTATATGAATTCCAATTCTGGCTTTTATAAGTGTTTATGGTGTAGGACATTGTGTGAACCCAATCAAATGTGGTTCATTCAATAAACCACAGTTAAGTAACAGCTGAGGATGATAGTTCCAAATAGGTCTAAACCAATACCCCAGGGCTGAACTTCCCAACAGCCTATTTTTGCCAGCAGATGCTAGAGAAAAAGAAAGCAGAAGTCCCAAGGAGCTTTCACAACTGCTGGCCTTCTAAAACAGGATGGGCTGAATAAAAGGCAGGTCCAAGGCTAATTGGCTTGCAAGCATAGGCCCCAAATTCGGAAACTACCTGTCAGCAGTGTTGATGTATGGCTGCTTCTTTAGCCACCTGCAACAAAATAGTACTTTCAATTCCTCTGGCCCATAATGCAACCTTCCCAGGACACCTCTCTATTACATGTGAGGTTACTGTGCAAAAACCCAGAATTTGCACAAATATATAATGATCAGATCATGCCTTTCCCAGAATGCAGTGTAAATCTGGGCACATTGTGGTATTACGATCAAAATATTTAAACCTTCAGTTTAAGGAACCCATAAAATCTCAGGAAAGAGATCTTTTGAGCTTATCAAGGGCTCAGTTCCACTTTTCTAAAGCTCCAGACATCTGATGGTTGGAGGAAGAGGTGGCTTTTAAACAGAATTGCAGATTTCAGTCATAAACAGGTCAATAATAATGACAAAGATAACAATTATTCCATTAAAATGTTAGCTTGTGTGTAAGCAGGTGGGGGAAATTTCACAGAGACCTGCTCTGTTCAGGATGAAATCATTCTTCCACATCAATTTACTGCTGTTATTTTCATGAAATACTGATACTTCTTGTTTAGTTACATTCAGTGTATTTATAACTGAGAGCAAACACCTAGGAAATTCCAGTTAATCAGGGATCACATGTGGGCAATCGGATGCCCCAGGCTGAGTACAACACCTGGTCCCCCTTCTTTCTTTTTACAGCCTTCAGATTTCTCTCTGGTTACAAGTGCAGAAAATCAGTGTCATAATTTCCATTGTGAAGCAGGAATCAAACCAAAATAGTAATGTATGTTCTAAAGTAAGATTATACTATATATATATAGTATATATATATACTATACTATACTATATAGTATAGTATAGTATATATATATA